ATTTTTTTTTATTACATATATTCATTATTTGCAGGTGTTAAGACTATGTTAATATTGGTATAAGACCACAAAACAAAATCAAATATCTACAGAAAGCAGCAAGAGTTCACTGGAATTGCCTAAAGGAATTCAAAATCAACAAATCCTCAAGAAACATAACAATGCATTTTCATATAAATAATCCAAAACTTTTATTTCTCAATTTTATACATACTTCACTAAAAATAATATTGTAAACTTGCTGTTAAGTGAGTCAGATATCGATTCAAACCTGTCACTCTGCTCATAAGGGTAATTTGTTCCTGAATCGGACTACATTTAGGATGTGTTTTTAACTAAAAAGAAATGGATCATAAGAGTAATGTGTTCATTGGTCGTGCTGTATGTTTATTGTTTTGCATCCAGCGCACGAGGACAACCCAATACAAAGACATTCGTGTTGTTATTTTGTGGTATACAGTCATTTTATTTTATCACATTGATCACATATTTGATACAGACTGTGAACTTGGGTAAATGATTGTTTCTTTTGCTGTGACAATTATCTGTAGAAACACTGGTTTGCATAACTGATTAAACGTGATAAAGATCAGCTGGTTGACATTATTCGCTTTTCAAAATGGCAGCACTCAGAGGACGAGACCAAACCTTCAGTAATTCACCTACAATACCTATGTTACCATATGTTCCTCTGGTTTAGTGGTAGAGCATTGCGTTAGCAGCGCAAAAGGTCGGGGGTTTGATTCCCAGGGAACACACATACTGGTAAAAAAATGTCTAGCCTGAATGCACTGTAAGTCACTTTGGATAAAAGCATCTGCCAAATGCATAAATAATTATTATTAAATTATTAACACATTCCCTGCGTTGTATTACATTAAAATTTAATAATGTACAGATCACACACTGAGGAAAACATATCACTGATAACACATATACATCACAGAGACGTTTATTTGACATTTGCATTAACATCTGCAAGACGTTTTTATTAGAATGTTTGCTCATCTGCAATATGTCTATAGGAAGTTTCCTATCAGATGTCAAATAGACGTTTATTAGATGCCTTTAAGATATTTATGATTTAGAATGTATGTGTGTATAACTGACATCTTACAGACATCTCTCAGCTGTTTGTACACAGCAGATGTATATCAAGCGATTTTTAACAGACATCTTTCAGACGTACATGTGCTATCTGGGATATAGGTCAAGTGCTAAAGGCTAAAGGTGGTTGCCTTGGTCACGAGACCGTTTGTAACATTACAAAATTCAACAAAAGTTTCTCTCTGAAGCATCACACAGGCAAGAGGGATACAAACAACACAACTCTATTTTGTATGTGTAATAATAATACTTCATTAGCTTAGCTGCAAAAGAAAAAAAGTTCAAAACATCATGTATTATACTAACGATATTGCATATAAAATACATTTAGGGATAAGAGATGAAAATACATAAGAAGAGTCATACCAATAATGAGCAACAAAAACACAGAAGCAACTCACTCTTTTGTCTTTCACTAGATGTGCTGCAGTTCCTTCTATTCCAGCAGGAGCTACCTACAGCTACTCGTGTCGTGGGATGGAGGGACGTTATGTTATTGTGATGTAATGACTTGATTATTTTATTTTATTTTAGGGAATTAATTACTATTAATTCATTCAGGTTTTGATAGGACTCGGATCTGAAAATACGAAGTTCACCTGATTAAACCGATTTCAAATTTGTTATCTTACACTTTAGAGAAGGGGGACAAAACAGGCGCCACGGCATTTCTGTTTACAGGTGGAACGTTAAGTTGTGTGGCACAACTTTTGAGAGGCTCTGAGCGCACACCGTTTGAGCTACGGTCATCAAAATTCATACACATATAGTTCTCATCAGGCCAAACAACTTTTGTGCTGACAGTCAGTGCTCCACCCAACAGGAAGTCGGCTATTTAAGGTTTTGTGAAAAGTGCATGCTGTGGAATTTGCAATACTCCACTGAGGATTTCCAACAGATTGCCACCAAACTCTGTCAACATGATCTCAAGATATTGGGGATGCAAAATTGCCAAGGGATGTCTGAGGCCGAGACTTGCAGACAGATTACATTTTCACATTTAACCAACAATTCCTCAACAAATATAAAATATCATAATAAAATATCATCAAAATACTCATCTGATGGAGGTGACAGACCTGACAGAGTTGACACATCTGACAGGGGTGATAAAAACCTGAATTTGTAGTCATTTTAACTATCAAATAAACTGAATCAATCAATTACTGTATTAAAACAAACACAGCAAACAGTGAGAATGTTATTGATTATAAAGCTTTTATTCAAGAGTCACATTTAAGTGTTTTGATAGATTGGAACACAAATTATCTATTTTCTCTCATCTCAGAACAGTATGTCTGCTGTGGATCTGCTATGGTATCAAGGTAACTTTTAAAAACTGTTAATTGAAGAAATAAAACAATTTGTTGTTACCTCTATCCATTTACATTGTATCTAATTTCAATTTCACCAGGATCTTAATATTTACTTTTAAACATTTTAACAAATTATCCAAACATTATACGATCAGAATACAAATGGTCTGTATTATGTATAGATATGTTTTATGCAGTGTCATTTGTTCCCTCAGCCTTATGTTCGCTCAACCCTAACTCTGCTAGAAGTGATGACTATCAATCCACAAAAGCAATATATGCTGTCAGGTCACATATTTAGTATTTATACATTATTATAAAAAAATAAACACTATTGTCAATTTAGTATAATTAAAAATGACTTGAAAACCACAAAAATATGATGACTTCATGGTGAATGTGAACTCTGTCACTGGCCCGTCACCACCGTCAGACAGAAAATCTTATGGTGGTGACTAATTTGGCATTTCTTTCACAAAACAAATGGAGTTCATGTAGTAGCTAACAGAACCTGCGTCAGGAGAATAAAATGATCTAAACATTTCAAATAATTTCCTCAGAAACTGGAAGATGGTGTTGACATATCATGCATGTGACACAGGAAATACTAACATTAGGATTTAAAATATTCTAAAACTATAAAACTGACCAGAGCCTGTCTGACACTGATGTACTCTGCAGAGGTGGAATGTGGCAAGGGGTCCTTTAGAGTAACAGCTGCCCCTGATATTCACTGATTTTATTACATTTTTATGAATGTCTGACGGTGTTGACAAAAATGGGGACACAACTTTGAAACCTTCACACTTCACAATCACACGTGTGTCATTGAATAACAACCTTGTTTTGATATGATATATTATTAAGGGTTGCATTTGATAAAACAAGCTCTTTTTCATGATTAAAAAATATATATGCATTTTTTATCATATGAATAATTGAATCCTTCTCTGCGGACACACTGTTTTAGATGTAGTGAGAAGACATTGAGTGTCATAGACTTGATATAATAATAATAAATTAAACTGAAGGGGATAATTCTGTTAAATACATTATATTATTAATCCCTCATAACATTTACAATTTGAAATATTTTAATTTTTAAACCTAATAGCACTTACAATTGCTGGACATGTTTTGTCCCAAGTCTAAAGAATCAGTGACAACCCAAATGTTCAAATGTTCAAGTGTGTGTAGCGCATTTTACAAAGGACAGTTTCCTGAACCTGCGAGAGTACAAGGCCATCTCGTAATTCTGACGTTGATAGGACAATCTGGTGCTTCTGAATCAGAGCCCTTAAAGGGATAGTTCACCCAAAAATTAAAATCCTGTCAATAATTACTCACCCTCATGTCGTTCCAAACACGCAAGACCTGTGTTCATCTTCGGAACACAAATTAAGATATTTCAATGAAATCTGAGAGAAGAATTGTTGAATAAAGTCATTTTTATTTTATTCACTCATAAAAAGCATTCTCGTTGCTTTATAAAATTATGGTTGAACCACTGATGTCACAATAGGGCCTTTCGCACCGCGGGAACCTTTTCATAGTACCAGAACTAATTGTGGAACTACCCACTTTTTGGCGTTTTCGCCGGACTGCCTTTTTCGAGAACCAAATTAGCTCCTACTCCGGAGCAGGGTCTAACCAACACAACTTAACCAACAATTCCTCAACAAATATAAAATATCATAATAAAATATCATCAAAATACTCATCTGATGGAGGTGACAGACCTGACAGAGTTGACACATCTGACAGGGGTGATAAAAACCTGAATTTGTAGTCATTTTAACTATCAAATAAACTGAATCAATCAATTACTGTATTAAAACAAACACAGCAAACAGTGAGAATGTTATTGATTATAAAGATTTTATTCAAGAGCAACATTTAAGTGTTTTGATAGATTGGAACACAAATTATCTATTTTCTCTCATCTCAGAACAGTATGTCTGCTGTGGATCTGCTATGGTATCAAGGTAACTTTTAAAAACTGTTAATTGAAGAAATAAAACAATTTGTTGTTACCTCTATCCATTTACATTGTATCTAATTTCAATTTCACCAGGATCTTAATATTTACTTTTAAACATTTTAACAAATTATCCAAACATTATACGATCAGAATACAAATGGTCTGTATTATGTATAGATATGTTTTATGCAGTGTCATTTGTTCCCTCAGCCTTATGTTCGCTCAACCCTAACTCTGCTAGAAGTGATGACTATCAATCCACAAAAGCAATATATGCTGTCAGGTCACATATTTAGTATTTATACATTATTATAAAAAAATAAACACTATTGTCAATTTAGTATAATTAAAAATGACTTGAAAACCACAAAAATATGATGACTTCATGGTGAATGTGAACTCTGTCACTGGCCCGTCACCACCGTCAGACAGAAAATCTTATGGTGGTGACTAATTTGGCATTTCTTTCACAAAACAAATGGAGTTCATGTAGTAGCTAACAGAACCTGCGTCAGGAGAATACAATGATCTAAACATTTCAAATAATTTCCTCAGAAACTGGAAGATGGTGTTGACATATCATGCATGTGACACAGGAAATACTAACATTAGGATTTAAAATATTCTAAAACTATAAAACTGACCAGAGCCTGTCTGACACTGATGTACTCTGCAGAGGTGGAATGTGGCAAGGGGTCCTTTAGAGTAACAGCTGCCCCTGATATTCACTGATTTTATTACATTTTTATGAATGTCTGACGGTGTTGACAAAAATGGGGACACAACTTTGAAACCTTCACACTTCACAATCACACGTGTGTCATTGAATAACAACCTTGTTTTGATATGATATATTATTAAGGGTTGCATTTGATAAAACAAGCTCTTTTTCATGATTAAAAAATATATATGCATTTTTTATCATATGAATAATTGAATCCTTCTCTGCGGACACACTGTTTTAGATGTAGTGAGAAGACATTGAGTGTCATAGACTTGATATAATAATAATAAATTAAACTGAAGGGGATAATTCTGTTAAATACATTATATTATTAATCCCTCATAACATTTACAATTTGAAATATTTTAATTTTTAAACCTAATAGCACTTACAATTGCTGGACATGTTTTGTCCCAAGTCTAAAGAATCAGTGACAACCCAAATGTTCAAATGTTCAAGTGTGTGTAGCGCATTTTACAAAGGACAGTTTCCTGAACCTGCGAGAGTACAAGGCCATCTCGTAATTCTGACGTTGATAGGACAATCTGGTGCTTCTGAATCAGAGCCCTTAAAGGGATAGTTCACCCAAAAATTAAAATCCTGTCAATAATTACTCACCCTCATGTCGTTCCAAACACGCAAGACCTGTGTTCATCTTCGGAACACAAATTAAGATATTTCAATGAAATCTGAGAGAAGAATTGTTGAATAAAGTCATTTTTATTTTATTCACTCATAAAAAGCATTCTCGTTGCTTTATAAAATTATGGTTGAACCACTGATGTCACAATAGGGCCTTTCGCACCGCGGGAACCTTTTCATAGTACCAGAACTAATTGTGGAACTACCCACTTTTTGGCGTTTTCGCCGGACTGCCTTTTTCGAGAACCAAATTAGCTCCTACTCCGGAGCAGGGTCTAACCAACACAACGACTTTCCATGTCCATTATTGTGAAACCCGCGAGACACAACAAAAACACAGCTCCGATCACAGCGTCCTCCATCCTCCTGTTGTTAATGTTGTTCTTCTTTGTTTCTGTTGTTGAACGCCGAGCACAAATGACGACGCTGTCGACCGGCTTACGTCACTTCTTAGTACATACTCTCGGTGCGAATGCAACCCTTCAAATGGTACTGGGAAATAGTCCTTGCAAAATCGTCCCAGTACTTTAGTACTGTACATTTAGTTCTGGAACTAAAGCGGTGCGAAAGGCCCTATTGACTATTTTAACGATGTCCTTATTACGTTTCTGGTCCTGGGAACGTTTCAGTCACATTGCTGTCTATGGGAGGGTCAGAAAGCTCTCGGATTTCATCAAAGATATCTTAATTTGTGTTCTGAAGATGAATGAAGGTCTTACAGGTTTGGAACGACATTAATGACGGAATTTTCAGTTTTCGGTGAACTAACCCTTTAAGTATGTTTAATTATTTTCTTTTGACTGTTCAAATGCAGAGTTTGGCGAAGTGTAGAGTAACGCATATTGTTTGCAGTTCTTACAATCACAAGTGCAGAGATGGAATTATATTTACAAACAGTGTCCTGTTTTCCGCTTATAACTGGCGGGTATAACGACGACAGACATAGATGCACTATGTTCCATTTCACACTGGATGCTAAAGCAGAGCTGAAGCAGCAAGTGCCTGTTGTGCTTTCACACTGGCAGCGTCATGTGCAGCTTAGCACTCTGATATGTTCAGCTCACAGTTGGTTCCAACCGATCGGCTTTTTTCGGAATCTGACTCAGGCTCGAACTGATGGTAAAACTGACAACATTATTAACTGTTCTTTTAATAGCTTTGGAAGCTGAAGCTGGCAGTTATGATAAGGGGAGTTACATTTCTGACACACACTTGAGATGTTTGACCAATCACAACGCGCTGAGTCAGCTGACCAATCAGAGCACCCTGAGCTTTTCAAAGGAGGGGCTTTGTAGAAATCAACACGTTTTAGGAAGACTGGGCATAGAGGAGCTACAATAATGACCAGTTTGTGAAAAAAATAATATATTTTTGAACATTAAAGCATACTAACCTATTCTATTACACCCAATACACAAAATAATTAAATTTGAAAATAGCATCATATGACCCCTTTAAATGCTAGTATGGCCAGCAGTCTTTGCAATTTCATAATTTACCCATTCAGGTAGACAGGACTTGGTCATGAATGCCTGAAATAGCTGCTCAGAGGCGCTACATATGGTCGCCGAGTGAAAAGATATTCCCTGAAAAGGACTTTGTGAAGACTCGACCAGTTCAGACAGATCTGACAGCAATGCATTCCTAGATTGATGAAAACCACCTCAAACACGTTCAAAGAGTATAAAATAAGCTGACTAAAACCATTTCTCAACACTATGACATCTTACAGGTAATTTGGCAACAGGAAGAACCATCACACAGTCATCAACCATTGGCACCTGGCTTGGTCAACAAGCCATTGATTTCAATCCAGGTTTCAAAAAACCATCTTCATCGTGTTCCTCAACCGATAATCAGACTAACCCATGGTGGAGAGTGGATCTGAGTTCTGTGTACAGAGTAAGTAGAGTTGTCATCACAAACAGACTAGACTGCTGTCCAGAAAAAATAGATGGAGCAGAGATTCGCATCGGAAACTCTTTGGAGAACAACGGCAACAACAATCCCATGTGAGACCCTCTTTCCGTTGCTTAATATCCATGAAAATCCCTGAAAACATGTATGATGAAAGACTAGAAGTCTAAATGATGTTTCTCCGTCTCTCTTTAGATGTGCTGTAATTTCCAGTATTCCAGCTGGTGTTTCCTCCACCTACACATGTAACAATATGGATGGTCGATATGTGAGTCTGTTCATTCCTGGAGATTCAAGGATTCTTACTCTGTGTGAGGTGGAGGTCTATGGAGAAGGTGTGACCAAAGAAGCAGATTTAGTGTTTTGGGAAACTATTAATGGCTTTATTTATTTTTTGAATGCAAATTATTGTTTGAAAATGTGAAAGTTAAAGAGTTGCATACTCTCAACAGTCAATAATTCACCACATACCGTATTGGCCCGAATATAAGACGACCCTGATTATAAGACGATCCCCCTTTTTCCAGATGTACCTTTTGGAAAAAGGCTTTTTAAAAACCAAATCTTGTTTTTCTCAGTAAAACACATTTTGTCTTCAATTATTTTCATATTGCATATTTTTCCTATTTTCATTTTTGTTTTGAAAGTATGGTAAAAACTGGTAAAATGTACCAACAATCACACTTAAAAAATATACACTTTTTGATATACCATTAAAAAAAAAAAACAGGTATATTTCCAAGAAAAAAACATTGTCTTATATTCGGGACAATACGGTAATATGCATTTGTTTTTGACTCTAAACCATGTCCAACCTCATCAGTGATGTGCACAGACATTTTGAGGGGCAGGGGCTCAAGTGGAAAAAAGGGCACTTTTCATGTTTATTTTTTTTCTAAACACAACTTTAAATATATTAGGGGTGTGCGATATTGACAAATATATATATATATATTATCGATAATGATAGTTAGACAATATTTTGCTGAGTTATTGCTGTGTTATTGTGCTGATATCTTAAGGACTACCGTGGACAGCTTACTCCTAAAGTTTTTGATATTCTGCATATTCTATGTGGTGATCAGTTCACAGCAGGATAGAAATAATCCTTTCCAATAAGTTTAAATTGATTTTTACTTTTTATGGGCATTTTTACCTTTATAAGGCCATTTCTTTCTAAAAGTGTGCATCATCTTTTCAGTCAAATTCTTAAACTGAATCAGTCAATTAGAATAATAAGTCATTTAAGACCACCAGGCTGGCGCAGACGGAGCAGAAGACCACCAGGCCAGAGCAGAAGACCACCAGGCCAGAGCAGACAGAGCAGAAGACCACCATGGAGGAGCAGAAGACCACCAGGCCAGAGCAGACAGAGCAGAAGACCACCACGGAGGAGCAGAAGACCACCAGGCCAGAGCAGACAGAGCAGAAGACCACCACGGTGGAGCAGACGACCACCAGGCCAGAGCAGATGGAGCAGAAGACCACCAGACTGAACTAATAGACATTTCATTAGCAAAATCTGAAACTGGATGGACTAACAGTTCACACTCGGGGTCATTGGTGGAAACTGGACAGACAGAAACATCATCATCAGACACATTGACACACAATTCAGAATCATGAGCATTGATGTGAACTGGACTGACTAGACAGACAGACGGTTCAACAGTTGACTGGACAGGCAGACCATTCAAAATCTCATTGTCTCATTGTCTCATTGGTTGAAACAGGGCTGACATATGGCTCAAAACTTGACTTCTTGCCTGAAACAGGATAGGTAGACAGTTTATTAGTGGTCTCTTGGGAAATGACAGGGGTAATGGGACAGACATGGAGTGTTTTTGTGGTTTCTGGGCTCATCATAGACAGAGTTAAGAGATCAAAGGTGGATCTTTGGGCTGTGACAGGGCCACCGGGGTAAAGGTGGGGTGCATCTGATCTCATGACAGTTGGGATCGAGTGTTCAGATCTGATCTAATGACAGTTGGGATCGAGTGTTCAGAGGCAGGTTACCTGGACGTCACAGACAGTTCAAGCTCTGAGACGTGGGGAAATAGGACATACTGATGGTTCGTAATTCGACTCACGGATTGAATCCGGCAGAACAGACACTTTGAAACCAGACACACTAGGCAAGACTAAACAGACAAATGATTCAACATTAAGCTCACGGACTGAAACTGAACTAATAGACATTTCATTAGCAAAATCTGAAACTGGATGGACTAACAGTTCACACTCGGGGTAATTGTCGGAAACTGGACAGACAGGAACATCATCATCAGACACATTGACACACAATTCAGAATCATGAGCATTGATGGAAACTGGACTGACTAGACCGACAGACGGTTCAACAGTTGACACACTTGGAGAGAATGAGCAAGGTGACAGCTTATAATTTGACTCACTGACCGGGATAGGCAAGACGGATGATTCAACAGAGATGTTTGTGGAGACAACACGGGTAGAGAGTTCATATTTAGATTCATTGACTGGGACTGGCAAGACAGAGTGTTCACAACCAGCCTCCTCGGCTGGATCGGGACAGGACAAAAGTCTATAATTGGCCTCCATAGCCCTAACAAGGCAGGCAGGGGATTCACTAACGGCCTCCATAGCCGTTACAGGACAGGAAATAAGTTCACAGACGGCCTCCATAGCCATGACAGGACAGGCAGGGAGTTCATAGATGGCCTCCATAGCCGTGACAGGACAGATAGGGAGTTCATAGACGGCCTCCATAGCCGTGACACATGACAGGCTGAAAGTGTATTGTTGGGCGCCACCACCATGCCAGGAGCTGAAGCGAGCGCCGCCGCCTCGGGAGGTTCTGCAGCCTCAGCCGCCACCTCTGGAGGATCTGGAGCGAGCACCGCCATCTCCGGAGGTTCTGTGGTAGTGTACGCAGCCCAAACACACCAAAAAGCGATCCCCATCATGGGAAGCGCTTCAGACAGGGGAATCATTTCAGGAACAGGAGGGCTAGAGTGAGTGGGTTTGGGGATACCAGCTGCGCGTGCAGACACCAGCGGTGCATCCCTCACACTGGATACCAGACTGGAATACCAAAGGACTGACCTTGATAATCAGGGTGCAACAGACAGGACGTGACATGACTCTGGATGGTCTGCTGTGGTGTGACGTGACTCTGGATGATCTGCTGTGATGTGATGTGACTCTGGATGATCAGCTGAGACGTGACGGGACTCTGGATGATCAGCTGAAACGTGACGTGACTCTGGATGAACAGCTGAGACGTGACAAGACTCTAGAAGATCAGCTGTGACATGGCGAGACTCTAGAAGATCACCTGAGATGTGATGAGACTCTGGACAAACAGCTGAGACGTGACGAGGCTCTGGGAGATCAGTTGTGACATGACGAGGCTCTGGGAGATCAGCTGTGACGTGACGAGGCTCTGGGAGATCAGCTGAGATGTGACGAGGCTCTGGCAGATCAGCTGAGACTTGACTTGTGACGAGGCTCTGGGAGATCAGTTGTGACATGACGAGGCTCTGGGAGATCAGCTGTGACGTGACGAGGCTCTGGGAGATCAGCTGTGACGTGATGAGGCTCTGGGAGATCAGTTGTGACATGACGAGGCTCTGGCAGATCAGCTGTGACGTGACGAGGCTCTGGCAGATCAGCTGTGACGTGACGAGGCTCTGGCAGATCAGCTGTGACGTGACTTGACTCATGATGATCAACTGTGACTAGACTTGCCTCAGGAAGATCAGCTGTGAGTTGACTTGACTCAGGAAGATCAATTGTGACTTGACTTGACTCATGATGGGCAGCTGTGACATAAAGGGGCGCTGTTGAGTCTGCCATTTTGTGAGCGTGCTCTAGTGCGGCTGCCATTACACGAGTGAGTGCGGGATCGCGTTCCTCCGCGACACCCACAGTGAACGTTGAACCAACAGTCAACAAAGCATAGTCCATAAACTGACTGAGAGATGAGCGGGGACCTTCACAAATTAAACGTGATTTGAGCGGCTGATTAATGCCCTCACAAAAAAAGTCTAGTGACGTGACGAGACTCAGGAAGATCAGCTGTGACGTGACTTGACTCATGATGATCAACTGTGACTAGACTTGCCTCAGGAAGATCAGCTGTGAGTTGACTTGACTCAGGAAGATCAATTGTGACTTGACTTGACTCAGGAAGATCAACTGTGACTTGACTTGACTCATGCAAGTGGATGGAAGTTCATGGACAGGATTCGTGACAATATGGGCATTTTTACCTTTATAAAGCCATTTTTTCTAAAAGTGTACATCATCTTTTCAGTTAAATTCTTAAATTGAAACAGTCAATTAGAATAATAAGTCATTTGGGCTGTTATCGAGCAAATTAAATCAGTATTGACAAAATTAAACTTTGCAATACAGAGAAAACACAGAAACTGCATTAGAAGGCGCATTTAGATGCATTTACACACTGTTTAATGCAGGACAGGAATGCATTTAACCTGCAGTTACAAATGCATTAATACTGTTTTGATATTTT